ATTTATATAGTAGTAGTGGTAGAAGGAGGAGGAGGAGGAGATTGGATTTATACCCCACCCTTCACTACCAAAGGAGTCTCAGAGTGGCTGACAATTTCCTTTCCCTTTCCCTCCCCACAACAGACACCCTGGGAGGTAGGTGGGGCCGAGAGAGCTCTCTCAAGAACTGCCCTTGAGAGAACAGCTCTGAAAGAACTTGTGACTGACCCAAGATCACATCAGCAGCTGCATGTGGAGGAGTGGGGAATCAAACCCGGTTCTCCCAGATTAGAGTCTGCCCACTTAACCACGACACCAAACTGGCTCCTTTACACCGTAAAGAACCCCACAAGCACCACCAGGGTCTCCTTTCTCTATGGTTTCCGCTGCTGCTGCTCCAATGGAGGGAGAAGCTCTCCTACCTCCTGGGGGGAGTCCTCACTTGACGTTCCTTCCGTCTCGCTTCCCGGGTATCCCCCACCTTGGCTGGTTCTGGTGCAGGGGGTGCGGTTTTCACGATGGGCGGGGGCACTGGAGGGGCAGCCGCTTTCTTCAGAGGTTTATCACTGTAGGAGAAAAATGGCATCAGGTGAAGCCTGCAGAGGTCGTTGGGAAGAGCGCCGGTCACTGGCCAGATTTGGGAAGCCCTGGTTTCAGACCTTAGCTGCTGCTCTTGGGGGAGGTGGAAGACGGAAAGCGTTTAATTTATTTAATACACGGCTCTGCCAAAGGCTCAGCCTACACGTTTACAAGATGCTTTACAACAGGGGGTCCCCGATATTTTTGTGCTGGCAGTCGCCTTTGGAATTCTGACATGGTGCGGTGGGTGTAGCCACAAAACCGCTGCCACGTCTTGCCTTCAATCACATGGTGAAGATCCTTGTGATGTCACAGGCGCCGCCACCGCCGCCAAAGCAAAGCTCTTAAAGATCTACACAGCCAATCCAATCTCCAGTGGGCAATCAGAGGCCTTGATGGAGAAAAAGAACCACTCGGCCCCACCCACTTTCTGAAACCACCTGGCGGGCGCCAGGAAACATACTGGATGTTCACCACGTTCGGGACCTCCGCTTTACAATGGCAGAGCTGTTCAAATCCATTATAAAAACCCAATACGGGGACACGGAACAAGACATTCACGGTAGTCTTTTTTTTTTTTTTTAAAGAAGCCCACCAGCAGGGCTATCACAACCCATTCCAGATACTTTTGAATAACAGCAGCAAAGACAGATAAGCAGTGGACTAGATACAACCTCTTATATACAATAAAGAGCCGTAGGAAGCGGGCTAGTGAAAGAGGGAGAAATAAAAAGGCCTCCAGGGGTCCAGGGTGTGACTTCCTGCCACAGACAACTGGGGGCAGCTGGAGTAGAACGTAGGAAAGAGCCCCACGGCGTCTACTCGGATTGGTGGTGCATTGAATCTGGGACCTGCGTGCGAAGGGATGCATGCTGCCGTGGGACTAAACTGCCACATACACACAGCAAGCTGCCTTGGACTGAATCAGACCCCTGGTCCATCAAAGTCAGTATTGTCTAGTGGCAGAGGCTTCCCAGGGTCTCAGAGGCTAAGGTCTTTCACATCACCTATCACCTGGTCCTTCCAACTGGAGATGCCGGGGATTGAACCTGGGACCTTCTGCGTGCCAAGCAGAGGCTCTACCACTGAGCCACAGCCCCCTCTTGACAGCTCTCCAGGGTCTCAGGCTGAGGTCTTTCCCATCACCTACTGCCTGATCCTTCCAACTGGAGATGCCGGGGATTGAACCTGGGACCTTCTGCGTGCCAAGCAGAGGCTCTACCACTGAGCCACAGCCCATCCCCAGTCTGAACACCTGAAAGTGCCTTCTACTGAATCAGACCTATTGGTCCATCAAGGTCAGTCGTGTCTACTTAGACTGGCAGTGGCTCTCCAGGGTCTCGGGCCGAGGGCTTTCACGTCACCTACTGCCTGGTCCTTTCATCTGAAGATGCTGCCAGGGACTGAACCTGGGACCTTCTGCATGCCAAGCAGAGGCTCTGCCAGTGAGCCACAGCCTCTCACCCCCCCTAACAGGGAGCCCCTGCTCCGTTATGACGCTCCTAGGATGGCCTGGGACGAGTTTCTTTCTCTCTAAAGGGAACAGTGGGAGGCAGGGATATTTCAGAGACACTTGTACGACTTCCGCATCTGCGTTCTTTTGAATTCTTCCCCTCACAGGAAGAAGGAACAAGGCATGACGCGGTCCACTGAAGCAAAGCCCCCTGCCCTCCGGCATTGGAAGTCCTCCATGTTCCAATTTGGGCCGCTGAGTTGCAGCTAAGAAGTCCCTGCATACCTGCAAGTTTACCTCCAGAACCTAACGGGGAAACAAAACTGTGGCCAAAGGGAAACAGGATGCTCAGTTCTGAACTTGATGGCAAACTGCTGACACCACCACACAAATGTGCATTGTAAGCACAGCTCGACAAGGGGACCAAGCACGTGTGTGTGTTGGGGAGAGCAGGGGTCATTTCCTGCAGGAGCGCACAGGAGCAGAGCTCTGGCAGTAGGGAGCCCAGGGGGTGGGCACATGCAACAAGCCCCACCCCCTGCTCCCAGCAGCCCTCAGTCGGGCCACGAGGAGCAAGAAGCAACCAAGTAAGTTGCAGAAACACCCCCCCCCCCA